GGGGTGGGGCTGGCTGGCATGTAGTGCTGGGGGATTGAACTGCAGTCCCTGTGCTTTGCCAAGCTTGTTCCAAGTAGGTGCTTTAGACCACTGAGCCATCTCTCCAGCCCCTCAGTGGAGTTTTTAAAAAAGAAAAGAAGTACTTATTTTTTTCTAAAGTCAAATATTGTATGGAGATTCAGTTAAAAAATATTGTATGGAATTTTCTAGTCTAAGTATTTAGCAATGACATTTATGGTATCAATTTTTGGTACTTTACCAAATTTTCTCACTTAAGAAGCTCAGAATTAACACTCAAAATTAATTTTTATTATTCTAGTTGTAAATATGTGTTTCTATAAAGTACGAAAAAAGTCATTACTTTGTAAATAGAATTCCCAAGCTCTAACCAGTGACTTGGGAAGAAGGAGTTTCATTGGCAATCATAATCAATTCCAGATGTCACTTTTTTTTCCAAATGTCACTATTTCCTTTTATTATCTTCTTATATATATTCCCTCTTGCCCCAGAATATTTGCTTAGCAAAGAGCTTAACCCTAAAGACAGTCATACTTAGTAAAGGCATCTCCACCATGGGAATTCCACAAAATCATACAGATTTCCTAGGGAGTGGATACCAAGAAAACATTTTTTGCCCCTATATTCCCAAATATAATAAGCAGAGGCAGTGTATAATTCATTTGGGAGTTTAACTCAGACTATTTGTATAATATCAGTATCAATATTTACCAACTATGCTATAATTCTTATAGATATTTAATAATAACAAAAATTAGCTTGAGTCATTTCACCATATAAACATATCAAAATACATTGTATGTCATAAGTATATAGTGTATACAGTTATTATTCATCACAAAACATTTTCAAAGCGTGCCATTTTCACCTAAGTGGTTTAAATGATGACCCTCTACAAATAATACCTTTCTGTCAACACGTACAGTACACGACCAACTTACAGAGTCCCTGAGTTTGCACAACTTACACGAACATGCCCTCTGGTGTCATTCGTCCAGCTTGAACTAAATAGGCTCCAAACTGAAATCCTGCTGCATAGGCGAAATATACGAAGGCGTGGCTGAATGCGTAACAGCTTCCGATGATCTGTGCTTTCTTCAGGGTATTTCTGAAATGCACAGTTTTCCAAACAATGGGGCATGAATTATGGCAAAGTCACTTCCATTAATGTAGAGTAATGAATATGAGGTCTTTGAAGTGTTAAAATTTGGTAGCTATTTATTTTCTAAGATTAAAGAGAAGATTATTTTTATTTTACTACTACTATGAATTATAGGGAAGACAATGATACAATGTTATTTTTCTATGGACATATTCTGTATAGTTTAGTGTAACAAATTTGCCTTGGTTTACTTTCTTTCTTTTTTTTTATTTTAGGGAAGGGTCTACCGGGAGTTCAAGGTCTCACTACTAGATCGGACTTGTAGTGATCCACCTGTTCATAGCCTCCCAAGAGCTGGGATTATAGGTGTGCAACATCATGCCCAGTCTCTAAGTTTACTTTCTAACAAGTGGACAGTCTGTGCAAGGACAGTCAAAAATATTTGGTTTAGAGGCATTTAGAAATATTCCCCAATTATTTTAATCCTGCATTAATAGAATTGATAGTGACAGTTAACGGGTAATGCTGACCACAAGCATGAATGCAAAAGAGTACAAAGCTGTCCCAGGCTGGGGACATGTCTCAGTAGAATAAGTGCTTCCCTGGCAAGCACAAGGGTCTGAGTTCAATCCCCAGTTCTGAAAAAAAAAAAAAAAAAAAAAAAAAAAAAAAAAAAAAAGCTGTCTTTCTGTCAGAGTATTACCAAGCACACCACTGAGTCAAAGTGATAAGGAAGACTGTTTAATGAGCACATTTATTGTGTATATATTTGTTTTATTTATTTTTTATTTTTTTGGTGGAACCGGCGATTGAACTCAGGTCCTTGCGCTTGCCAGGGAAGCGCTTATTCCACTGAGCCATCTCCCCGGCCCCTTATATTTGTTTTAAAATGTAAACTGTCCTAGATATTTTTGTGCAAAAGAATAGTCTTCCCTTCTTGCATATATTGTTTCCTCAGTCTTATCTCAGAAGACAAACATGTGCACTTACTAAGAGAGTAAACAGTGAGTGCATCAAAGAATGTATGCATCAGAAAACCAACTTGCATAAATATTGTGCGACTAAATCTATTGAACTGTCATGGGATTAGTACAGGTTATCGCTGGCCTCTACATTTCCAAGAGGTGCTCCAAGTGGTGGCCATTGGCTTCCACGCATTCACTAGTATGACGAACTGCTAAAGTGTGCATACAGTTTTTTGTCAGACTCTCTAGTACATGGAAGACCTAATATATTTATCCTAGTTGTGTTTTTCCTTGATTTATCTTTGTTTTCTCTTGGTGAAGTTATGTGAGAAATTATCTCTTTTTAAAAATTTATTTTAAAGAGAATAGAAAAGTAACAGATAAGTTATTAGAAACAATACATAATTTAAAAAACCCCATGATGCTAAGTATTCAACAGTGGTTGTTAATAGTGCACATTGTTGTCTTCAGTGTAGTTGCTCTGACTATAAAGATAAGCATGTCAAATTGGTCGAAGTAAAAATTTTAAGCATTAGCTGCTACCTTCACAAAAACCCGGATAAAAATGATAGAAATTAGTAGTGTAATCATCCTAGCTATCCTGTGTATAAACACATGATTATGATATCTCGTTCTTAGGAAAGCCAGGGGATTGGCAGGCAGACCACTGAAATTTGTGAGGAGCACAGCGTGTCCAGACAGCAAGGGTCACTGGGATGGGGCTGCGTCTCTTGTCACCTGTGCTGAGTCTGAAGAGTCTCTTCGTACATTTGCTCAAAGACTTTTTCTCTTGTTAATGACACTATGGTACGTATATTCTCCACTGCTTCAGTTGCTATCTACAAAGTAAAGTACAGAAATAATATAATAGTATATTCTAGGATAGTGCAGACAGAGTAAAGTAACAGAGTATGTTAAATTGGTAAGTTTTTCTGGCAAGTATTCTTATCTCCTCCCAATAAGATATGAAAATTATTTTCAGGGTAATAATTTTTGAAAAGTTTTATTTTATCCACCTTCAGATCTTTACTAATTTAAATTTCAATTGGTTCCACAGGTAGGGTAAGCAAGCATTAGTGAACATTATATTTACATGCAAAGGAGCTTTCTATAAATTATGAAGCAATTTAAATAAATGGTAGTAGAGAGAATCAAGTAAATAATTATTTTATTTTGGCACAGAAATGTAAATAGTCACCAAAGAGCACTTAGGAACATTCCAATAAATTATCATGTGATGTGCCTCTGACATTTTTTATAAGATAAAACCATTTCTCATTTTGACATCTGTGAACTTCAAAAGATTTAATTCAGATATGATTAATGCTTCTCCATGTTTATACTGTTTTCAAAAAGAATGTACAATTACATAGGATTGAAGAGGGAGGAAGATTTGGCTTAGAGTAACTTTTTGGACATGAAAACATAGCTGGGCTTGAAAGAGAAACAGCATTTTTATGTTTAGTTATGAACTATTACTGTAGCCTACTGTGTTGGCTGCACTCTTGGGACTCCTCCAGAATGTAGCCTACTGTGAGAGACAAGACCCGCACAGACGTCTCATTACGTGCCAGATAACCCGCAATAAGTGCAAATCAGTGAGGTAGTGACGTTATATTTACTTTAGTGTGTATATATACACACATATATAGTTTAAAGGGTTATAAATCCTTCCCACACTCTTATCAACATTTCTCACACTGTTAAAAACACTTCTAGTGGGGCCAGGGAGATGGCTCAGTAGGATAAGTGCTTGACTGGCAAACACAAGGATCTGAGTTCAATCCCCGGTTCCGCCAAAAAAACAAACAAACAAAACAAACAAAAAAACACTTCTAGTATTCTTCACCATTTTCTAAACTCCTAAACCTACATAATTTTAACAACATCCGTATACTGTATGGTATGGTATGTACTAACCTGCTAAAGAAATGCATACTGTGGGGCTGGTGAGATGGCTCAGTGGTCTAAAGCACCTACTTAGAACAAGCTCAGCAAAGCACAGGGACCGCGGTTCAATCCCCCAGCACCACATGCTAGCCAGCCCTGCCCCCTGGTGGGCTGAGCGGGCCACACACACACACACACACACACACACGTAAATAAATAAAATTAAAAAAAAGAATTATTTAAAGAAATGCATACTGTAAACAGTGTATTTTATTTCAATTCAGTATTCTTTTAATATGTTAGAATTAGCATATTTAATATATTTTCATATTTGGGGGGCAAATCATTAAAATCATAAATACTATGTATATAAATATGTACATAGTACTGTACACTGCCACAAAATCTCACAATATAGTGAAAAAATCTTCAATCAATAACTTAGATTAATATTTTTTGAAATCTCATGAAACAGTGAATCCAGGAAAGTCGAACAGCATGAGGACGAGGGACTACTGCATTTGGAAGCAGCTTGGGTTTTAGGAGAGAACTGCATTTCTGCACTGTGGTCGGGACACTTGGATTCCGCTCTCAATTTTGATGTTAAGTTGTTTTAAGTTCTTATAAATTTCATCTTTTGGGGGGTATTTTTTTAGGGAAGGGTCTACAGGGTGTTCACGGTCTCACTACTAGATCGGACTCGTAGTGATCCACTTGTTCACAGCCTCCCAAGAGCTGGGATTACAGGTGCGCACCACCATGCCCAGTCTCAGTCACAGGCTCAGCGCACCCTGGGGTCTGGGCCAGCATGGCAGGCCAAGGGTTGAAGCCCCGACCCCTGTGTCTGCCTAAGCAGGTGCTTTAATCTGCTGAGTTAACTGGCTGGCCCACTGTAGTCTTTAAAAAGCCAATAAATCCATTTAAAGTCTTAAAAGTGAAAATTGATAATTTGTTCAAATCTACAGATTCAATGAAGGAAGAACCAATATATTTTATGGCTCTACATTCTAAGTTGCCTATTTAAGAGGAATTACTGATTATATCTGAGGTTATTCTAATATTACATTAAGTGGTGGTGATATATTGTTCATTTTTCTTTTAAGACAAAAGTGCGAGTTTTTTTTTTCCCCTAAATTAATACCTCAAGTGTTCAGGCTTAACTGCAGTGTTGGGACTCTGCAATAAATAAGTGGGCTTTGGTTATAGCTGGGCACTTGTCTTTAAAAGATTCGCCATCCCTAGAGTCTTCAAAGGAACATAATATAGTTAAAGATGGGCCGGCCAAATAGCTCAGCAGATTAAAGAGCCTGCAAGCAGGTGCAGGGGCCAGGGGTTCAGCAATTGAGACTGGGCATGGTGGCGCGCTCCTGTTATCCCAGCACTTAGGAGGCTGTAAACAGGAGAATCACTATGGGTCTGATATGGTAGTGAGACCCTGAACACCCTGTAGAACCTTCCCTAAAATACAGAAAAAAAATAATATACTTAAAGGCATCACATACATAAAGAGGATGAATAAAATATGAAGAATGTCTCAAATTGGGCCAATTTTCACAAATTGTAATCATCCAGGGAGGGCTAAACAACTGTTCACTGCCTCCAATGCAAATACTTGTCCAATACTAGAGTCTATACAGCCCACACAGACATTCTAAAGGTCTTTATTTAGCCCAAAGGTGGAGAGGCCTCAAGGTCAAGAAAACCAGAACACGCCGTCTGCTTGGCACCCTTACTCATGCACATTTGTACTTATACCATTCCAGCTGTGAGTGAGTCACCAAGAAACAGACCACATATGATATTACAGTCATTTTCATATTCAAAGTTGTTCCCCCAAGTGGCAAACATCTCTGTAAGCATGTCATGGGGCGAGCAGCTTGAAGATCTGTAATGTATGTTCGGGGTAGAACTCAGTGTGTCTGTGATGCAGCATCTGAAAGCTGTCATGGGAAGTAGGGTTCGGACCTTATGAAGTTGCAAGTTAAGAAGAGTGAGACAGAAAGCCACCAAAGGATAAATAAACAAATGCAAGAACAGTGGCAAAAGCACAAAAGCAAAAAAACTGGGACTGTCTACCATGCAAATGTAGGCAGCTTGAGAAAGTAATGGACTCTGAGCCACTGGAGGAAAAGGATGGCAGAGCGTGAAAGAGTAATCGACAGTGATGTGCAAAGGATTCCCACTCCGGGAGAGTGGTTGGGTCAAATAACACCTCTTTGAGTTCACAGAGGTAGCTGAGAAGATAGCTCAGCGGCATAAGGTCCTGTCTGCCAAATGCAAGGTCCTGAGTTCCATCCCTGGTACCAAAAATAAATAAGTAAATGGGTGTTACGATGTTTCCTTCAATCTTCAGTATTTCCTTAAATCTTCAGTGGTTATTTTATGAGCACAGCTGATCTCGAGAAGCTTAAATATGCCAAAGAATTTTCCACACATGTACGTAAATTGTTCATATCGATCAACATTGCAAATGGTCTTGCATCTAAAAACTTACTTTAGGCATTATTAATGTCAGTGCATGACCTTGAATTCAGGAACTATTATGTTTCATGTTTGTTATGAAAAATAAAATACCTAACAACAAAAATACCTACTAGAAGAGTGGCTGATGAAAAATGTAATTATGAATGATTATAGGATTACTAACAATTACAGGAGTCAATGTGCTAGAAAACTCTCCATGATAGATGGAGGTAAGAAGGGCTGCTGAGTGCTTACTGTCTCCTAGGCACAAGTTTATATACAATAATGTTAATTTGGTTAATACCAGATGCTCTGTAGGTGGATGCTCTTATTCCCACTTTTAAAAAATAATTTTATTGAGAAACAAATTTCAATGAGACCATTTCAAAACCGATTCCTAGCACAGTTTCAGTAATTAATACATTGCATATTGTTGTCTTAGTGGTTATTCATTGTATAAGAGGCAGGCACGAAATCTTGTCTACAAACACTATTAGAACAAATCTCTACCACTTTTTTTTTGAGATAGGATCTTGCTGTATGGTTCAGACTGGCTTTGAAAACTCACCATCTAGCACAGGCTGGCCATGAACTCACAGTGATCCTCCTACTTTGGTTTCCCGAGTGCTGTGTTATGTGTGTGCATGCCACATCTGGCTGTTATTCCCACTTTATAGATGAGAAAACTCCAGTCTACAAGGGTTGACCCAACATGCTCTTGTCACTCACTTGTTAGTGATGGGATGTGCATTCTAACCAGCTTGACTCCAGGTCCTATGGTCCTATCCTCCAGCAAGATCCTATCTCAAAAAAAAAAA